TTGTATCAGTCATTTTATCGCAGTTGGGCAGAATCGATTTCCGGTTTCATCGATTACACTTGACTGGCAGCCGTCCATGTTTGAAAGCCATACACCTGCGAACGCATCAGCGATCCGTGGTGCTTTCCTTATCGACGTCGTTTTCCCTCCTCGATCGTTCGCTGAAATGATCCGAAAAAACGACAGACAGATTATTTGCCTTATCAATATCCTTCTCCTTGCAACTTCTGCTATTGGTCGTTTTTGATACGCAGGAAATAGGATAAGATGCTACATTTTAATCTGCGCCGTCTCCCTGTCTTTTACTGAAATACGGCACATCCCCCGTCTTAGCATTCAAAAGTTTCGGTAGCCTCGAAGGACTGAGGTCTTTGTCAGCTTTTCGCCGTTCAATCGCGGTGTCATTCTCCAACGATCCCGGCGGCTGCGCGTTACTTGACGAACCCGTCAGTAAAGTCTTGCAGTATGTTGAGAGTAGAAACTTCGTTTGTTTACTGGGAATGTTTTCTTTCATTGGCTAATAGTGCTATGCACTTGTCGAAGACCAGCTGGTGTCGTGTGCCGAAGGGGGGCGGCACAGTAATAAAGGTGGATATCTGTGCCTGTATCGAAGAATCTCATGGTGATCCCTTACTTCTCCGCAGACCCGTCCATCCGTCTATTACGTACTGTTATATAACCGTAGCCTTTGGCCCCGTCGGCCTTTAACTCTCGTCTGCCCATCTGTACCCTATAACAAAGCAGCGTGAAGGTTTTAACAGTAACAGCGGCCCCGTTCTCGAGCCGAATATCTGCGCCTTCTATATCAGGCTTATTGCCAAGCCGCACTCAGACAGCTTGCGCGCAACTCCTGCACAACGAGCTACATAACCGCAGTAGCGATGTTGGCAATTGGCAGTGCTGCATTACAATGAGAGGTCGATCCCCTTTACTCGTCACAGATTCGCCGAGAATGGGTGCTCCAACCGGCTCATCGGTACGCGCCAAAGTCACATATGGCGTCTGCATGCCAATGCGTTACGGTCTCCGAACGCGGTACGATGCTTAACTCTGCTGCTGTGGCGGCTGCGGGACTCAGACGCGTACGTTCAGAGCGGCTCAAACTATGCCGGCGGCTATAGCGGCTCGTGTCGCTGCGCGAGCAGATGGTCGCTCAAATAGCAAAGGCAAGAGAAGAAGAAATGCATGTAAATCCAAACGCGAAACGTCCACTAGCAGCGGCGGCGGTAGCTGGGCGATTTCGTCGCGATTTTGATTACAACGGCCGACGGCTGCTGAAAAAATCAAAGTCGATATCCACCTTAGGGCGTATGCAGTCGTTAAGGCACCGGCTTCTTCGATTGCTACCTGTTGAATGGCATGAGTCTGGCACTACCTGTTGCGCAGGGGGTGTGCGTCTGCATTCTACGATCTACTCGTGTATCTACTGCAGCTTTTTCACGTCGTAGAACTGTGGATTCTGGTGGATAGAGAGCACAGCATCTTAAATCGATGCTACGCTTGGTTACGTTTACGGGCTAGTCAAAAAGGCTCTTAGTTAGATGAAAATGACACGTTTGTGTGTGAACGTAGATTTTTATTTATATAAATAGGAAGCTAGCTCGCAATAAAGAGATAACCCACAAACTATACAATATAATACATAGTTCATATTTCTTATATATTTTCTATGGTATAATCTGTTTGTCCGTCTGTTACAGGTCTATCTCGAACCCTTCGAGAGCTAATAAGAGAGATATATGAAATCATTCATGATGAAATTATGTGTGAACTTCCGGGCGTAAACACCAACTGATTCGGTCCAGGAGCGTCTTGTCTGAAGTAAAGCCTAACGGCTTAAGTACCGGATGTAAGACATGAAAAACATGATAGAATTATATGCTCTATTTGAGTTTATTGAGGTTAACGTTTGGCTATGTGTTTTCGTGGTAGTAATACAGTGGTAACTTAGTATTTGCTCATTTATCTCCTTTAGGCTTACGCAAAATCGTGGACACAGTGCAATACTCCAGGAAAGACCAGGCTATCATGCCTTTTTCTTCTAGGTCTCTCAAGGCCTCGTTCAAACAGATTCTTTGGGCAACGCCAAAATGGCGCGGTGCTAAGGTCCGCCGTAGAAGACAGTTGCGAGGTAGCTAGGCAAAAAATACAAAACGTATAAAAGCACAAAAGTGTGTTCGGAAACTATAGAGGATGAGTTTTGAAGTTCTAAGAGGTAACAGTTTGTTTCGGATTCGTCCTAGCTATTAAATCAAGCGTCGCAGCCGCTGCTGGCATTAAACACACAATTGATCATTATCTAGTACGTACCTCTTGGATACACTACTGCCCCTAAACAAACAATCTTTCTTTGAATATGTATGAAATGTGTGTGAACTAAAATATTAACACTTGTTTTATAGCGTAAACGTACATTTTCTAACCTTCGGACTGCTGGATTCAATCATATCGGATCTGCTCTAGTTTACTTCTTGATATTCCACTGCTATTCGATATACGTTTGTAGTCTCTCTTCCGGGCCAGAGCTATGTGGCATAGCATATCGTAGATGCAAGCATATTGTACTGCGTAAATCCCTGAGCAACGATCGCGTCACCTGAAAACGCAAAGGTTCCCCTTTAGCTGCTCTGGGAGAGCTAGAAGTATCGAATAATTTGTGATATTTTGTTCTGCTTCCTGCTTTGGAACTAGCCGATCTGCCGCCCGTTTCACGAGTCCTGCACTTCCATGCGGCCTCATTTGCCTGGTGCTTAGAGCGGCCAGGAATCTGAAATCTAGATCAGGATCCTATTTGAGACAAATGTCGCTCTGCAAACCGCTTCTGGTAGATGAGTCTCTGTGGGTGCATGCAATAGCGTCATTTTGTTCCGTTGAAGCTCTGCTGGATCCGCGGCTGCTCCGCCTCCTGGTCAGAGGTCAGCGTTGAATTCCAGTGCGCCGACATCGTCACATTGCTGGTTTTGCTTCTAATTCCACAGCTGCTTTTGTCGTGTCGAAAAACACAACGAAATGGAGATGGGACGGCAGCATCGGCGCCATGTTTCCCTCGTCAATTTTAAACAGAATGAGACGTCTAGAAGATCAACGAGGTGCTGGCCCCACAGCCCCGATGTCGCGCCTGGCACGGAAGAAGATATGGGCAACGACGATGTTCTGTTAATAGGCGCAGAAAGTTGTGGGTACGGTAAACCTCATCGATGGGCCGCATAAGCCCGATAGGATTGATGCCGCAGTCGAGATCGATCCGATTCCTCATGAATTGCAAATTTCTGCTCCGGCGAATTATAGTAGCAAAAGTACTACGTGCTTAATGGTGTCAGGAGGTTAACGAATAGAAGTAAATTACGAGAAGTATATCGTTTTGTAAATTCAGGTAGCATAAATAGGTTAAAAAAATACTTTGCTCAATTTTCTATAGATTAAGGTCACAGTCACTGATATAGGTTACGGATGTTTATATTCCTCGTGGGAAATTGTATGATAATCATAAAGGTGATGGTGACGGAAATAATAACACGCACCTGATAGCTGTGTACATCTTCCTGACGCTAAATAAACCCCAAGGCACTTTTCAAGACCAACGTACAAAAGAACAATCATTTGACCACAGAAAAGTATGACCAAGTTTTTTGTATGACTTGCTTTATTATCAGACACAACAGGTGCGGAGGGCCAACCTATGTATGCGCTAGAAGAAACAAATGAAGATTGAGTTCTATGAAAATTCATTTAAACAGGCGAAGTAGGTAGCCATTAGGCAATTACATTGCCATTGACAAGTTTCTGCTTTATATTGAAATGTACATCGGAAAGCATGGTTACGAAAAGGTAGATGTGTGATACACGATTATAATAGGACATCTGCAACATATTATTTTAGCTAAGGCAGCAGGTTAGCAGAGGCAGTCAGGAATCAGTTAGGGGCTAGATTCGAGTAAATAAAGGCTCGCCGGTCGATCTTTTTCTCTGTCTATGCTGGTTTTCTCTTTCTAAGGTTTATTAGACAAAATCCTGACTTCACACAACGGTACAATAGTAACACGTTCGCCCGCTAAATTTACTGGCATAATCCCAGTTCAGTATTGAAAGAACGTTCAAAGGGTGTAACGGAAGGTGAAACATTTATTGAACCTAATCCTCCATCACAAAACATATTTTCCGTTGACCCTATTGTATATAAAATGTAATTAAAAACCACGTATATCGAGCACGCTCGGACTCGACCTCAGGCCAGCACGACTTTCTCAGCTTAGAATAGAAATACCCCAACTGCACACAACTATATTGAAATAGAACACAAACTAACACTGTAATAGCAAACGTCATTGGGCTTGTTTTCATTTAAAAAAAAATAATAACCTGTAATTTTTTCCTACAATTAACGTAATCTAGAAATATCTATTCATATTCTCCAAAAAGAAACACGCATAGGTTAATGGTATCGTGACCACTTTGTAACCATAAAAGTGATCATTTTGTATTTGTTTTTATTTCCCTTTTTTCTTCTCATTTCTGTATCGTTCGATTTTTTCATCGTTCCTTCTTTCATTCGTATAACTTAACATATTATTGTATCAAATTATATTATATATCTATTTACAAACTATGTACAACTTTATATAAAGTTACGCCAGTGTCAACGTTTCCGCTATGTGAGGTTCATCAAGCATGATGGCAATTCGTAGCTATACGATGGCATAGTTTTACACGGATTTTACTTGACCATTATGTCAATCACGGGACGAGGATGTGGCAATAGCAACTCGATCCACACATCTTTTGTCACCTGTTAACTAGACTAGACATAGAACCACTGGATAATAACGCGTAAGATTTATATCACAAGTCCGAGAGCTACTCATGGACCGCAAGTGTCACTGAAGCTCCTCCAGTTCTCATCCGTCGGCAACGACCTCAAAGTGTTTAGGTAAAGATAATTGTTTTTTGTCAGATTCCCCCTTTTTCCCCTTTCCGCCATTGTTGCTGGGGGGGGGGGGGATTTAAAAAGCAAACACGGCCGCCGCCGGGCTAGACTGGGGAGATGGACGCATCACTGCCACCGAATTACCCTGCTGACAGCATGCTCCAGAGTCTTGATGCTTGTGAAGGAGAGACGCTCGGGAAAAAGTCTTCGAGCATTTGGTACACGAATACTTTTTCACCTCCTGATGGGTTTGGAGGTGCGCTCGAAGATTGGAGCGATCGGCGAATGCGCGATGGCAGTGTTCGCATTCAAATGGCTTTTCCCCTGTGTGCGTCCTGATATGTCCCTGCAGAAGCCATGGTCGAGAGAACGCCTTGCCACAGATGTTGCAGCGGCATGGAAGCGTGTGCGTGCGATGGTGCATCTTCAAAGCGCCAAGTGACACATAGGACTTCGGGCAGTACTTGCACAGATAGGCGCCTTTGCTAGTCGATGACGACGAGCACGGCATTGATGAAGAAGACGACGTGGACGTCGCGGACGATGCGGATGAAGGGCGCACAGGTGAGCTCGGTTCAGATGTTGATTTAGGCGACTCGTCGGAGCTGCTATACGACGATTCCGAGGGCTGAGTCCAGGATGGGACAACAGCAACATCCCCGTGCTGTTGTGGCAAAGCAACCGATGCTTGTGAGGTAGCTGCGACTTGTAGGCCAAGAGGAACGGGGTGAACCATTGAGGGCTGCCCAGCAACAAGTTGCGCGGTGGTAAAAGGTGTCATATGAGGTAACAGCGAGTAATAGTAGGGATGCATGGCGTATGGCATAGGAATCGCGCCAACAGGAAATATTGGAGTGGGTGCAACGATGGTTTGTTTCGTTTCAGGCGTCTCAATGTGTTCAGGTGACGCGACGCGTTCAGGAGACTTGGAAGATTCACGGGGACGCTTCATTGTCAAATCGTAGGGCATTGTCAGATCTGCAAAGATAAAGAAAATACATAAAGTTAGTGTTGCTGCAGATACGGAAAAATTAGTTCGAAAAAAAAAAAAAAAAAAAAAAAAACTGTAAATTACTGCTAGATAGGACTGGTTAAGCTCAGTTTGGCGACACAGATACCTATTGGTTTGCACCAATTCAGCAATTAAACGGGAAAAAGCTAATCATATACGGCTCGGGATATCCACAGGATGTTTCGCTACGAATAATAAACAGCTTAATAGGTCGCCGCGGTACATACCTGGTACGGTCGCTGAACAGTCCGAAGGGGCAGGCGACACAGAAAGAGCTGGCGAACAAGAGGATCTGGAGAGATCCTCGGGCAAGCACATTTCGTCTTGCCATGGCCGTTTGACACCCGTCAACTGGGCGGCAATCATGGCCTCGTGCTTCTTCTTGATCAAAAACGCCTTCGGCATCGTGATCGTCGTAAAATAGGTTCGATATAATGATCAAACAGCGACAACAATTCAGCAGAGAAAATATCCAATGCAACGTGATTTTCGTTCGTTCTTTCTTTCGTTTGCTTGTTTGTAAGTATCCAGGGAGCGATGCACGAATGTACTACTGATACTTGAAGTGTTCCCTGTTTTTATACCGGCGCATACACCTCGATAGACTCCGCCTCTACGAAACCCCCCGAGGGAGAGGGCGAAATGGAGAGGGTAACCCCCAGTCGGAGAAACGGAGCGCCACTGGGGATGGCATCGCAGTCGGTCACAACAACCGCAAGTACCAGCAAGCCAAATCGAGGCAGTAGCATCTACAACGAACTAAAAGCGGGCATGGAGACCATGTGCTCCCACTGAACGAAGCCCTCTGCATAGGGAGTGGTCTGTTTGGTGCGGAACACCATCTGTCGTCCAGCCGTCTTGTTTGGAGCTACTGTTCTTTGTAAAAACAACGATGGGGCTTCGCTTTCTAACGTCGAGTAGATAGTCGCGTTACGCTTAGGGAATGGAGAAACGAAGGTAGGGCAATGTGTTGCCCACGCTTACAGCTGCAATAGGCTGGATTTAGAACTTACTAACAAACGGGTAAAAAGCAGAGTAAAAAAGATGATGAAAATTTGAGTCTTTGTACTTAAGTAGGCTCTATCCATTAGTAGATAGGAATAAGTTTTTTTTAATTTAAGTCAGCTAGATCTAAATGGGGTAAACGACGCTGAAGTTAGGCTGTATGTTAGATTTCTTTTCGGCAAACGATGGCAAATAAAGATTCGCGTGAATACGGACAAATAATGGCGAAAAAAAAGGCATGGTTACGCCTTTTTTTTCAGTTGCTATAGAAAATATTTTTGTTAGCAAGTTAATTAGTTTTCACAAGATTAACAGTTCTTCAGCGATAAGTACATCTGCCTATATATCGTCGAAGGCAGGTGAAACTTACAGCTGCATAAAATGTAAATTGTTTGGAGGCTTCTGTATGTACATATTATTACACACATTGTTTTTTTGATTTACTATATAATAAAATGACAGATTACCAACCAGTCTTAAGCTAAATCAGATTACTACTTTTTAGAAGAAGCTATAATTGAACTTTTATTTGCGTCGCAAGGTATCATACGAGATATTTATGGTAATTGTAGGCTAATTGTGCTAATTCAGTAGCAAGAACAGACACAAACATTACTAAATAATCCACAAATCAATGTTGAATGAAACAAATGATTTCCAACTTGAAGGATATGTCACAGTTCTAGATTCGAACCCAAGACTTATTCGCGTTGCCTGTTTGAATGGGAAGACCGTGATAACTTATCACGATATTTTTTTGCAGGCTGATCAGAAAGTCCACGGCTTCAATGTTGTTTCGATTCAAATATTCTCTGGGAGCTTGACATCGTATATTCTATGACTCGGACATATAAATGTATGTGAATCTTTCTTTATCCAGGCAAATCTCGATCTAATGGATCTGTAACATTTGACCGCTGTGAACTTTTCCCCTTTTAATTTTTGCCGGGCACGTAACGCGCGGTATATCGAAAAATTTTAGTCAGCGATTTGCAAGGATGAATTAGCGCGTCATGTCTTGTGGAATTGATCAAATTGTTCGATGATTCGCAAGGGCAACTGTGCAATCCAAAAACAGCAGAAGACTCCATTATCGAAATAGATTTATCACGAAGCAAATAGCAGATTTGCTAAGCGTTATTGATTGTAGCGTTTCATCGCCTAAGCGTTCAACACAATCCCTATTTTTGTTTGTTTTTTTCTTTCGAATAATGCTTTTATCTACGCCATTACAGCTCTAGTATATAGAATACGATAATACGCTGGGCATTGCCCCGTCTAATGGTTGTTTTACCTACATAAACTGTTTAGTTGGGAGAAATGGATGCAACAGGTCCGCTTATCGGACACGGAGCCACCATCACCCACAGTGAATCCAAGTGCGCATTTTTGACTTTATCAATTCATTAATTTTAATTGACTCGTTCAGGGCACGTATAGCCCTTCGCACAGTAGCCTAGGATTCATTCTAATTCCGAGTGAGTACCGTTCGTCGTGTGTCGTGAACAGGGGCAGCTGATCAGGCATATCGACGAAAAGACGTTGAGTATGGCGCCGTTATCAATACGTTTCAGCTTAGCTTCGTTCGTTTACCTTGTGTCAGCTTGACAAAGACAATTCTAAGTGCTAACAGCCGTTATACGAGGTGAAAAGCTTTAGGAAGAAGGCTCAAGTAATTTTTCGTATTAGGCCACTTCTGCAAAGTGGCCTAATACGAAAAATTTGCCAGTCTATTCTGAAAAGGTAAATTTCATTGTTACAATAGCTGTGAAAAAAAAATTTCAACTAGAATTGAGAGCGCCCTAATTGAGATTATAGTTTCTCTCATATGACAATCAGACACTTTTATCTGACAGATTAAATCAGAATCAATGTCCACATGTACGGAAACGTTTTGTCAGGTATTCTTTGCAAATAAGTCATCTACAGTATATAAATCGTTCGTGTCTGTAGACAGAAATCACTTGCTTATCATCGCATGGCCTGAACAGAAAGATGTAGAGACAGCCGTCATCTTGCATGCTTTTGCGCGAACCTCAAGTACACCAGCTAACTAAGAGTGTTACCTGAACTATATCTGCTTATAAAATCCGGAATTATGCATCTTCAGCGGTTTCTTTGTAGACCCAGCACGATCCTTCAAAGCCGGCTGTAACAGGAAGGATTACGGATTGAAGAGACTGTAAAACGCAATATTGTGGCTTTTTAATCGCGATGAAAGGGTGAGAGAGACTGTGCGGCCGGATTTGCACCAGCATGTGGTCGGATACGCGTCAAGACTATGCTCAACAGAGTACCCGTTCGTCGCGCCTGCTGCAGACTCGCCGATTGGAAACAGGACCCTCCAGCTTTGTCCTTTTTGTCAACCGTTCCAGAACAGCGGCCGGCCTTTATCTAGCCCAGGCATAGAAGGCTCGCTAACTGAACGCCATGAGAAACGAACAGGAGAAATATAAAGAGCGAAAATCGATGTGCGGGTGGATCTTTGGGAGGACCGCGTCAGCCCACTTTTTGGCCAGGAGATAGCCGAAACGGGGACCCGGTAGCTAACTAGAGTCTGTGCACTATCATGAACAAGGCATTATGGGGAAGAGACAAAGGGACCTGTGGGGTCGGGGACCAGCCGTGGCGACGAGTAACGGAGAAAAACTGCCAGTCGTTTGGGTTGGGGGGAATGTTTAGAATAGTGTGGGAACCCGAGCGGTGGCGGACTGAGTTTTAGCACTAGTCCAGTGTTCGCTTCTAGTCGACGCACAGAAAAATGATGGACTAATGATGGCTGGACGGGAAGCTAGTGAGTGAAGCAAATCGGCACGTGAACACCGCCCCTATATACACTACGGCTCTCTCCTTTATGTGAGCTCTATTCATATATAGTTATACATCTGCGTACGCATGGACTTTTTCCATTTCACTATTAGCTCTGTTCCATTTATATAGAGAGATAATATGGGAATATCAAAGACCTGCGGTGACTTCTTGAGAACAACCTGCGGTAGACCTAGAGAGAAGGTTGGTCATTGTCGTGGAGATAAGGCATTGCTAGGTGCGATGCCTGACGGAAGTAAATGGCTTAGTGGAATGCTAATCAGTTAGCATCTAACCTTGTAATAGTCATCATGCGAGGAGCAAGTCTTCGATTGCTTAGCGTAGATAGTTTAAGCGAAATGCGTAAGGGTAGTTTATCGTAAGTCGTTTCCGATCGTAAACCTAGTTTTCTGAATAGAGCCAGCATTGTTGAACGCAGCAGACGTACGACAGAGTTGTAGAAGTGTTTGAGGGGTGTATCTGTGTGTACGTTAGTGGCTTCTGACTGATCTTAACGCCAGCATAATATTCTACATAAATTAAGTGGTTAGTCAAAAAAGATACAGATGCATTTGCCCCTCTACAAACCGCATGAAGAGCATTGTCTTGCATATAAGTATGCAGGTAAACCTAAGGAACGTAGTCATTAAACGGAAAACAGGAGGGAACTTCTTAGCAGACATCGTTGAGTCACATTAGCGACAAATCACCCCCAAATAGAATCCAAATAGAGCACTTGCTCCCTACCATGTGCAGCAAAATGGACGCTTACCGAAATCATTTTCTTATTATCTCTCTCTCTCTCTTTCTTTCTTTCTTTCTCTATCTATCTATCTATCTCTCTTTCTTTCTTTCTCTCTCCCACACACACAAACACACACACACACACACACACACATATATATATATATATATTATTAGACAGTTGTTAAGTGTCAAATGCTGGTTAGGCATGTCACCAAATCAGCGGCAGGCAATATTATGAAGTTCTTGTTGTCACATAAGAACAGGACTGTCAGGACTGTCAGGACTGTGCAGATTTTTTTGATTTTTTACATAGTAGAGAGTATCGAATAAAATCTGTTGTCTATATTCTGGTTCATTTGATGGCTATATTCAATTTAAACTAACCCTTGTCGAGCCGGATGAAAAACTAGCATTGTCGAGCTATCGTTTGACATTGAGTGTCAGTTTGGATGATTATTTACCCTGTTTTTCATTCTAAATCTATTAGATTACAGTATACTGCTACTAGTACACATATGCGCGTGCTCGAGTTTACCATATATATATATATATATATATATATATATATGTAAGAGTTACTTCTTCATCTTATTTTTTATCCGTTTTAAAAATCTACTCAATTATTGAACGTCTCTCCGATCTCAATTTCTTAACTACGGATATATCTATTTTGCTTAGTCATTATCGCAACGTTTTTGCAAATTCCACGAAAAATGGAACACCGGAGCGCGCTTCAGAGGTGGGACGTTGATTAACTTATTGCAACACCGAAATAATAGAACCAATTGGACTGCCACCTTCGGCTGTATCACATCTAAAAACCACAGGCCATGGCGGCATCAACGAGTAAATGGAATCATCCAT